AACTCCTGGGCTCAAGCGAGTCTCTTGCCTCTGCCTCCCAAGTAGCTGGGACCACCGGCGCCCACCACAACGCCTGGCTATTTTTTGATTGCAGCCATCATTGTTGTTTGGCAGGCCCGGTTGGATTTGAACCTGCCACCTTAGGTGTATGTGGCTGGCGCCTTAGCCACTTGAGCCACAGATGCCAAGCCGGGAACTTCTTTAATCTGAGAAAGGGTATCCACAAAAATGCACACAACCAACATCATATTTAATAATAAAAGACTGCTGCTTTTTTCTTAAGATTTGGAATAAGAAAAGGATATCCACACTTGCTATTCCTATACAACATAGTACTGGCAGTCTTAGCCAGTCAAATAATGCGTATGCAGTTCTCTTGCTTCAGCCTCCCAAGTAGCTGGGACTACAGGCACCAGCCACAACGCCCAGCTATTTTTTGGTTGTTGTTGTCATTGTTGTTTAGCAGGCCTGGGCTGGGTTCAAACCCACCTGCCTTAGTGTACGTGGCCAGGCCCTACCCACTGAGTTATGGGCACCCAGCTATAGCACGATTCTTTTTGTAGATATAATCAAGCTGATTCTAAAATTTATATAAGACCCCAAAGAACTAAAATCACCAAAACAATTCGGAAAAAGAAAATTGGAGAAATCATGCTGGCCATTTTTTGTGTGTTTTGAGACAGTCTATGTTACCCTGGGTACAGTGCCATGGTGTCTCAGCTCACAGCAACCTCAGGCCTGGGCTGGGTTCGAACCCGCCAGCTCCAGTGTATGTAGTTGGTGCCCTAGCCACTGAGCTACAGGTGCTGAGACTATTCATCACCTTATTTGTAGTATTGGATTCATGAATATACACGACAATTTTGCCAAATTGTATACTTTAAGTATGTACAGAGGATGAGTGTAGTGGCTCATGCCTGTAATCCTAGCACTTTGGCAGGCCGAGGTGAGAGGATCTCTTGAGGCTGGGAGATCAAGACCAGCCTGAGCAACATAGTCTCCCTGCCCCTCCCCCAATAGAAAAATTAGCTGGGGATGGTGGCATGCCTGTAGTCCCATCTACTTGGGAGGCCGAGGCAGGAGAATAGCTTGAGCCTGAGAGTTTGAGGTTCTTGTGAGTGATGATGATGCCTGGGGACAGAGAGAGACTGTCTCAAAAAAAAAATATATATATATAGGCCGATTATAATGTAATAAAGTAATTAAAAAAAATTCTCCCTCTCTGACAAAGGTTTAATAACCAGTATCCACAGAGAACTTAAACATATTAGCAAGAAGAGAACAAGTGATCCCATCTCAGGGTGGGCAAGGGACTTGAAGAGAAACTTCTCTCAAGAAGACAGGCTCACGGCCTACAGACACATGAAAAAAATGCTCATCATCCTTAAGCATCAGAGAAATGCAAATCAAAATTATTTTGAAATATCACCTAACTCCAGTAAGATTACCCCACATCACAAAATCCGAAAACCAGAGATGTTGGTGTGGATGTGGAGAAAAGGGAACACTTCTACACTGCTGGTGGGAATGCAAACTAATACGTTCCCTTTGGAAAGATGTTTGCAGAACACTTAGAGATCTAAAAATAGACCTGCCATTCGATCCTATAACTCCTCTACTAGGTATATATTCAGAAGACCAAAAATCACATTATAACAAAGATATTTGTACCAGAATGTTTATTGCAGCCCAATTCATAATTGCTAAGTCATAGAAGAAGCCCAAATGCCCATCAACCCACGAATGGATTAATAAATTGTGGTATATGTGCACCATGGCATATTATGCAGCCTTAAAGAACGATGGAGACTTTACTTCTTACCTGTTTACATGAATGGAGCTGGAACATATTCTTAGCAAAGTACCTCAAGAACGGAAGAAAAAGTATCCAATGTACTCAGCCCTACTATGAAACTAATTTATAGCTTTCTTATGAAAGCTATAACCCAATTATAGCCCAAGAAGAAGGGGAAAGGGGAGAGGGAGGGGAAAGGGACGGGGGAGGATGGGTAGAGGGAGGGTAATTGGTGGGACCACACCTATGGTGCATCCTACAAGGGTACATGTGAAATTTGCTAGGTGTAGAATATAAATGTCTTAACACAATAACTAAGAAAATGCTGTGATGGCTATGTTAACCAGTTTGATGAAAATATTTCAAATTGTATGTGAAAACACCACACTGTACCCCAGAATTGCATTAATGTACATAGTTATCATTTAATAAAAAAA